GGGTGACTATTGTAAAAGAATCTTATAAATTATGTGTCCTGTATTAAATTGTTCCCCTTGTAAACCCTGACTACAACACCTAGTGACATCTTAGCCATGGTACTGTAGTAGCACAATACATTATGAGCTTGTGATGATACTGGTTGAAAGAAACTTGCACTGCAGTTTGTGTAGCAGTATGGCACAACAGTTATGTACAGTGCATAATACCTGGTAATGAAAATAAATGACTATGTCTAGTTTATGTATTTATTATACTATATTTTTATCATTATTTAGAATGTACTTCTTCTGCTTATTTTTTTAGAAACGTGAACTGTAGAACAGCCTCTAGTAGGTCCTTCAGGAGGGCTTACAGAAGAAGACATTGTTGGAACAGGAGACGACAGTTACATGACTGTTATTACCTCTCACAGACCTTCCAGTGGGACAAGATGTAGAGGTGGAAGATGGCGATACTGACAATCCTGACCTGTGCAGGCCTAAGCTAATATGTGTGTTTGCATCTGCACTGTTGTTAAAAAAATGTTAAAAAGGAAAAAAAAAAAAAAAACTAGAAAAAAGCTACACAGTAAGGATATAAAATGTTAATAGAGTGCTTTCCTCATATGCATGAGGCCCTATGTCCAATCACCAGTACAAAAGAGAGAGAGAATATTTTTGTACAGCTGTAAATATGTTTGTAGTATTTTAAGCTAAACGCCACTACAAAACAGTCAAAGAAGTTCATTAAACTGTTTATAAAGTAAAAAAGTTGTAGTAAGCTAATTTATTAATGAATAAAAAATAGGTCTTTATAAATGTAGTACAGCTTAAGCATACAGTGTTTATTAAGGCCACAGTGAAAGGCCAGGCCTCCATTGTCACTCCCCACGGACTCACTGACCCACCCAGAGCAACTCCTACTTTGCGAACTCTATACACTTTTTAAATCTTTTATACCATATTTTTACTGTACCCTTTCTATGCTTAGATATGCTTAAACCTGCAGATAATTGCCACTGTGTTGCAGCTGCCTGCAGTATCCAGTACAGTAACACGCCATGCAGGTTTGTACTGGATGCAATGAGCTACACCACACAGCGTAGTGTGTAAGAGGCCATTCCATTGAGGTTTGTGTACGTATACTCCACGGTGTTTGTGTAACAACACAATTGCTTAATGATACATTTTTTTATGTCATTAGGAAAAACATGACTGTATATGAAGAAAAGTAGGGGAAAAATTGGTCTCAGTGGCCTTTGATGACACATACCCATATTTATATTCATTATTCCTCAGGACGGCATTCTCACTAGAAGAAACAGATGGGGTAGGGGGCAGAATGCACACAAGCTACTTAATTTATACACATGCATCTCTATGGGAGAGAGTGACACAAGTTCTTCCATGGTCCAACTGTGTACTCCTCTAGGCACTCCAAGGAACGCAGGTATATTAAACATAGCCCCTTACTGAAGCCTTTCCTATTTAGGTGGAATAATAAGTTTGATATTCATAAACTAATAACTTAACAATACAAAAATTGCCTATTAAAGTACTAAGTTCTGATCCAGCAGATCAGAAAAATAAATTCACAGTGTACTTCAGTATGTTATATATAGTGCATATTATATGCTTTCAAGTTCGAGGAGTTCAGGAAACACACAATTGCTGGGTGGAAGAGCACTTCAAAGGAGGAGGTAAGATATGACATGTTGGTGGGCTGATCATAAGAACATAGATGAAAATGACTGTCTTAATGATGGTGATTTCCTTAGTCTGGGCCATGTATCAAACACATACTGTGAGGTAAAAGCTCTGCTAGATATCACACATCATTTCCAACTTGTGCAGGAAAGCTAAAAATTAGTATCATCCTTCTTTTACAGATAAGAAAATTAACACTCAGAGAAATCTAAACTCTGGTCCAAGGACACACTAACAGGAAGAGAACCAGGATATCTGCCTTGAAATGGAATTTCCAGTTCCATCCACGACTACTGTGAATGCAACACAGACATATTCCAGAACGGACAGCGTTCAGGGCAGAAAACCTGCTCAGTTTTTTTACTTGTGGCTTCTAAAAAATGGGGCCATGAAATAAAAGGGATGTTTTCTTGTCATTTTTTTCAGGCTCATGGCAAAAGCCTTGTAAAAGATTTGCGTGGAATTTACCTTTCTGTTGTATCCTTGAAACAGTTGGAAAATACTTCAAAAGCTTAATGATTTTTCTGAATATTCTTAAGTAGGTTTCCAAAGTCTGTTGGTTTCACTGTGCTTAGGTGCTTAGAGAAAAAGTAGTTCCCTTACCACAACAGGCACCTGACTTTCTCTCTCCCACAATGAAGATTTTGTTCTATTCGCAGAAGCTTAGGTGTAAGAAAGGGAGTCTCAGCGCAAAACTCACAGTTATCAGCATGGGCTGGAAGTAGAGCATCTACCATTTTAATTCTATTAAAAGAATCTCTTCGGTTTACTCACCTGAGAAGTATCTATGAACAATGACCTGCATCAGGAGGACATGAGAAGTAGTAATTTTGCTGGACCACAGTCCTGACTGTGATGCTGAACGACATTTGAGGAAATCATAGTCGTTGCCCTCTGCCAGCAGTTCATCGTTATATCACCAAAATCGTTATCTAAATTACTAACTTTTAATGTTTTTGAAGTCATGGATGCTTTTGAAAATTGGATGAAATTATCAAGGCTCTCTCCGTCCCCAACAACAGTACATAGACTACAAACCTACCAGTGATGCTATAGGCATTTGGGGCTAAAATACCATTGCGGTCTTTGCCTAAAGCACTGCATAAGAAAAGTTGTGAGCACACACTGGGCTCGGCTCAGCAGGGAAGAAATGCGATGCCTGGTCTGTGTTAGAGAAGACCCTGACAGCCTGAGACAGGAGTGGTGGAAAACCATGAATCCACCATTTCTAATCTTAAATACTTTTTGCTGCAACTAATACAAGGAGTAATCAAAATATACAGTGAATGTTTAAATTTAAAGATTATGATATACAGTAAAGGTATATTCCCATTAATTCCCCCTAAAAATGCCCTTCACTTTGAACACACTTGTTCTGTCCTTCTTGCCACTTTTGGAAGTAGTTCTGGAAGTCTTTCACAAGCGTCTTTAGAAGGTATGATGAAATATGGTGAATGCTGCTGCTGAGTGCTATCCAATGGGAAGGCAGAGTTGTAAAACTGTTACAGTGTATCCTACATTTTATTCACCATATCTAGCACCAGGTGACTTTGGGCTCTTCTCCAAAGTCAAAGTGATCCTGAAACGTAAATGTTTTGAATTGACTCAGGATATTGAGACAGACACAACAGCGTAACTAAAGACACACAGGAAAGAAGACTTCTAGAACTGCTTCTGAAAGTGGCAGGAATGATGGGATAAGTGTGTTTGAAATGAGTGGAGTATTTTGAGGGGAATTCGGATCAGTGGTCTTTTACTGTAATAAATTTTTAAAATTTAAATGTGCACTGAATGAGTCAATGTTCTGCATATGTTACTGGGCTTGTCAGGCTCCTCCTTATAGCCACAGGAAAGCAGAGATTTAGTCTGTCTGCTGTGCACATCAGAGTCTGAAACATTACCTAGAAGAAGAAAGGTGCTCAGCAAATATAAGTCAATGAATAAATACAGTCCCTTGAGATTATGAAGCTAAAAATGTTTAATGCCTTCTGTGTAAATCAGTATTTGCTTTTATTTATAAGACTATATACTTTGGGTTTTTCTTTTTTTTTTTTTTTTGGTCTTTTTGAGACACAGTCTCGCTATGCAGTTCAAGCTTGAGCTCACTTTGTAGCCCAGGCTGGTCTCAAACTCACAGCAATCCTCCTGCCTCAGCCTCCTGACTGCTGGCCTGCCCCACCACACCTAGCTAAAACTATATACTTTGTTTCAAGTGTTATAGTCTATCTGTATGATGCTGAAATTCACAGAATAAAACTATATCTTGTTTTCAGCACTTGTATTAATTTTAATTGTGCATTGTTTCTATTTTGGGGGGGGAGTTAGTCTGTTTTTTCACATCAAATGACTGCCATCCTTTAACGATTCAAGTCTGTTGATTTTAACGACAAGATATAGCCTGTGGAAACAATTATAAAATAAATACCGTGCCTTTGAGTTTTCAAAAGTCAGCTTCTCCAAGTATATTTGCTTAATTAGTACTATACATACTGGTATAAGTACTGGACATTGCAATATTAATATAAATAAGCATTTATGATTGACAACAGCTAAGGTATAGAAGAAGTGTGGCTTCTGTGCTTGAAACTGTCTCCTCAGATGGTTTAAATATAGCCTCTCACTTTGCTCCCACTTGAATTACTTCGTAAACCATTTCCTCAATTATAAGACAGTCAATTTTAGCACTTGTTAAATCTCACAGATTCTGAGATGGAAGACTATGAATTAATGAAGTTGTGTTTTATTCTGTAACCTGCATCCCTGAATTTAATCCAAGGCAGTGCTTTATCTTCTGTTTGTTTGTTTAATTTGGAGGAAAAACTAGCAAAAATGATGACAAACAGCATTTGCTCATTTGTGATACACGATGAAGCGACATCTTGAAATTACAGCCAATAAAACTCCAACAATCTGTGCGAGAACAAAATTTTGCATTTAGCATCAAGTATACATATTTAACATTCATAATTTCCCCTCCGCATTTACTGCCAGCATCTTCAAAATATCTGACTGATAAAGGAGCTGGCAGGCACCTAATAAGAACAGAAGTTAGCAGTAGAAAGTAAAGCTTCTTTGAATTTGTCACTGCTGGTGTTTTAGGCTGCCTGTCTCACCAGGCTTACGCACTGAGACGAGTTGATTTTTAGACACAACCACACAGTTCTTCACAGCACTTGTAGCTGTAGGCTCCATCCTTTGCGTGTACATTCGTGCATCTCATGTGCTGTCTTGTTCCCACATGTGCCATTAATTGGCAAGAAGGCTGCTCATAGTTGGCTGATCAAGATAGAGGCTGTGCAAAGGAACAGGATTAGAGACAGCCCAGGGTTTCCTTTTCAAGGAGGTTTAAAACATTTTTTTCTCGGTAACTTCCTTCCTGTTCTAACTGCCAGTACTCAGAAGTCAGAGTTGAGAGACAGAGGCACACGACAGAGACGACAGAGACGCGACGCACTGAATGTGAGTTCAAACGCCGCAGGGCAGGGGAGGTAGAGGTGGGCTCAGAGGGGCGTAGGACGTATCTGTACCAGGCTACTGCCCTTGACAGATTTTTTTAAGCCAACAGTTCTCTTTGCAACAAACTTGATGATAAGAAAGTGTTAAAGAGGCTGCTGCTTCGGTTCTGCAGAGAGAGGGAAGTTGAAGCAATGACTCAGGGAGCAGCTAGGGGGAGGGGGAGGAGGCGGTGCAGCCAGGGGAAGAAGCCAGGATGTTCTGGAGCGAGTCTCAGAGCATACCTGCGGGGGAGAGCCCGGACAGGTTTCCTACAGGGAGGAGCAGGCACCTGGCCAAGCTCAGAGTGGGAGAGACTGCAGGTCTAAACTGATATGGATCACTCTGGTGTGTCTTGGGCTTTGCTGGGGTGGAGATGTGCGGTTTCCTGTTTTTAAGCAGACTATTTAATCAGACTTGTTAAACAGAGAAAAAAGTGGTTTGGAGTTGTCAAATACCAAACTGTTTTCCTCTAAAGACCTGTCTGGTGCTAAAAGAGAAATACATGATGAAGTGCTCCCTTCCACTACAAAGGGACTTGGCAGTTAAGGGGAAGTGCAATAGGACACACTGTCGTTTCCTTTTCTGTCATGCACTGATGGAATTTCTACCAGGAATAAAAACAGAGTTTTAAATTCCTCCAGTGGGATGGGTAGAAACATATCCTCTTGCCAGGGGCAGGGGGTGGTGGGGCGCAGACGACACCTTTACACCTGAGAGAATTAAAAGCAACCCTGGAAAGTACTCAATAATTGCTTAAAGAGACAGATTCTAGGAGAATCCAAATGGTTCCAGCTGGAACACTGGTTACTGGGTCTTCAGACTGTCAAGTTCTGAACTTTAGCTACCACTGGGTATGCTTCAGACATGGCTGAAATACTTACCTCCCTTTTAGAGGACTTCCCAGCCAGTATCCGCCGCATAGTCTGTGATTAAAGTCAGACCTAGGGTAGTTTGTGGTGTAGATCTGAAAAGTACTAGGCGTCATTCCAGGTGAGGGAGGGGACTACTGTCACATAGAGGCCTCGCACTTGTCCCTGCGCATGGAGACAAGAGCCACTGTAGTCAGGGTTGGCACACTTAGTCCTCACTGCAGAAGTAATCAAATAGTCAAGAGCAATCAAGAGGTCAGTGGTCACTTGCTTGGCTAGGGGTCCAGTCATCAACGGGTGACATTAGTCTCACCATTTCTTATTGTTAAATATGTTCAGAAAATGTTCCCCCCAATGCCAAACATAGCATAAATGTAGTAAGGTGATCGTCTCATTCTTCTGTGAGATATGGAGACCTCAGAGAAAACAAGTCATTCTTCATCCATGTTGCACAGATCCATCCTAGGAGGGATAACTGTGTTACAGAGGGTAAATATCTTCTAGGCCCTGGGACTGGGTCCTTTCCTTGCTTTATAGAGCATGGGTTTGTCCTGCAGGCAGTATGTACTGAGCAACACCAAGGTTCTATGTTCACTGGGAACCCAACATAGCAAAGTTATCCTGAGGGACATTTGTAAGAACACAATATACTACAAATTTCAGCTAGTAGGAAGAGAAAAGGCCTGGGGAGTAAAACGTAAGCAGACAGAAAAAAGAGAACCAAGTTTCTTTGCCTGCCTTCTGTGTACAAGGTCTGGCATTAGAGACGTTCAAATTTTCGTCTCAAGAAGACAGGGAAGGAACATTAAGACTCAGAAATGTTCAGTGGTCTGAAGTTACATACTGATACAAAAAGAAATTGATAGCTACAGTGCCTCAGAACTGGATTTCTAGAAATGTCCCAGGGAAGAAATTTTCTTTAATTCCTTGTGGCTGGAGCAGTGTTCTTACTGCCCGTGTTGGAGTCCATGGTGATACTCCCCAGGTCTCTTATTGCTCCTGAAACTTCAACAAAGTTCATCTATTCAGTAAGTACTTAGCAAATAACTCTGTGTTGTATTAAACTCTGTGTTGTATGAAATTTCCACTCCGGCCAGAGTTGGCAAAAAATTTACATGGGCTTCCTTCAAAAGTCTCATATTCTGAGCACAACTGATCAAATTGTCTTTGACTTCTGATATTTCACTCCTAATTTAAAACTTCTGTGACTATATGGATTTGTTGCACAGCGATGGTTTTCACAAGGTGGGTCCTCAGACAAGCTTAATGGCTCCACTAAGTTCTCTGTCCTTCTGCAGGAAAACCCAGGTTCGAACAGCATACCATGAATGTAGAGGCAGGACATAATGCACTATTTGTCTTACAAAGGGAAATGCTAAAGAATTCTGCTTCTAGAAAATCATATGCTCCTCTGAATTCATTATGATTTTATTGTATATAAAAATATCCTCTTAGGCACTGGTTTGGTTCTTTTCACCCAGTTTTGAAATTTCAGCTCCTCAGGGGCTGAGTTGGTAGAGAGCAGCCTCGCGTCACCAAAGCAGTACATTGCCAGAAATGCTGAGAAGGACTGGGGGTATAGCTTAGTGCCGGCCTGGCAAGCACAAGGTCCTGAGTTCAGTTCCTGGCACACACACACACAAAGAAACTCTGAGAGACCGGGGAGGATTCCGCAAAGGAGAGAACCCCCTTCTGGTGTCCTGTGAGCTAAACCTGGGTCCCCACATGCGCCAAAGCACCAGGCAGGCAGCAAAGCAGACACATTCTTACTAGCTCTGAAATGTCAACAGTGTGTGAGAGACCCCCAGCTTTCAAAGATCTGCTTTGGACAAGCAGCCTCAGGTTCAAAGCAGGACATTTCCTAGTCAACAAGGAGTGGAGAGATTGGGGTGATAGCGAATGCTGAAGGCGGTACAGGGACTTTTCTGAAGGAAAGCACCTACCTCTGGTACTTCCATCTCTCTCTCTCCTCCCCTTCTCTTTCTTCCCTTCTCCTCTTCTCCTTCCCTCCACTGCCTTCCCCTTCTGCTCCCTTCCATTTTTTCCCTCCCCGCTCTCCCTTCTCTTTTCCTCTCTTCTCTTCCCCATCCTCTCTTCCTCTCCTTGCCCTCTCTTCTTCCTCCCTTCCTTCTCTCTCCCCTCTTTCTCCCCACTCATGTCTCTCTCTCCCTGTCTCTCTCTCCCTCCCCACCCCCACTTTCTTTCTCTCTACCTCTTGTACCTAATACTTCAATTCTCGTGGCCCACGGAATCCAGCACACTCCAGCAGATCTAGCTTTGAGACATGAGTTAAGTTTCTCCTACATTTTATTCCAACGACAGAGGGAAATCCCCCATCAGTGGGCGTCAGTGTCCACTGACATTTCTCATTATTCCAGAATGACCTCTGGTTTCAATTAGGCAAGGGAACCACACATAACATCTAAAATTAAATTGTTTATGTGGAAGTTTTCAGAAGAAATATAATAGTTACTGCCCCATTTTAAGCTGGATTCCATTTATAAATAGTTCTTGCAATTCCCAGAATTTCTGGCTCTACTCCTGCTCAAAGAAGCAGAGCCTGTTTCCGAGGAGAAAGGCTTGGATTTGTGCAGTTCCTATCCAGTGGAAAGGGTTTGGTACCTAGGAGATCAGCAACCTAACTTCCCCAAAGCTGTGCCATGAAAGAGACCATAGGTAGCAGGGGGCAGGGAATGGAAAGAAAGAAAAAAGTGAACCCTGATTGAACCTCCGCCATGGGCCTAAATTTTTCTTGTTTTCTTCACCCCTTCAGTGCCGCAAGGAAGGATCTTTATTACCACTTTGCTTGTAGTAAAAGTGAAGCTGAAGGCAGCGAGACTTGCTTGGGTCCTGTAATAAACCAGGGAGTGTTCACAGCACTAAATTAAGAAAGAACCTCAGAGGACTTCAAATGCAATAATTTCATTTTGCTGTGCATGAAATTGGGGCCCAGAGAGGTTGAGCAACTTGTGCAAGGTAGCACAGGAACACAGCTGCACTGAAAACATCTTGATGTGACACTTCCTTGCTAGGTTAAAGTCAGCCCTGTAGAGTTTACGACGAGGCATTTATCCCTGCTCATGCACCACAGAGAGATTCCCCAAATGACTAATGGGCTTTAATATTGTCCTGACTTAATAAAGACAATGGAAGGCTCAGAGTGCAGTGCCTGCACACATTCATTCCGCAGCTTGTGTGAGATGCAAGTAACTTCATGGGCAGCTACCTGAGCTGGGCTCTAGTGTCCTGACCTGTGGGAAAATGACGGTGCTCACAGAACTAAATGAGCTAATCTTCAAAAAAGATTAAATTGTGCTATATGTGATGACTGCTGAAATTATTATCAAGAATAAAATCAGTTGTTCTTTAGATGGTGGGATTGGAAAGCAATGTGTACAATTTTCCTAAAATTCCTGTTCTCACTTCAGTAGGCATCTGTAACAGGGAAAGATAAAAAGGGAAATTTGATCTTGGTAGTTAAATATACACCCGTATTGTTTAGGAAATTATGGTCATACCATGTACCACCTATGTCTGGGTGTTTGGGAGAATCTGTTTTGCAGAGACTACTTGTGAAATTAAAAGTTACAAGCCAGTCCAGGCATGGCGGCACACATCCATAATCCCAGCACTTGAGAGGCTGAGGCAGGAAGACTGCTGTGAGTTCGAGGCCAACCTGGGCTACAAAGTACGTGCAAGGCCAACCTGAACTGCATAACAAGACCTGATGTCAAAAAGACAAAACAAAAATTGCAATGCAACATTTAATAATACTCCACTGTACTCAGAACTTTTGCTTAAAGAATAGATTTTAGGTGTTCCTGCTACTAAAAAATAAACTACGTTAGCTAGATATCTTAATTTGCCTGATCATCATAACCTTTTACTATGTCTATCTATATAACTATCAAAACTCACGTTCTACCCTGTAAGTGTGTAAAATAATTTTTTTAAAAAGTGATTTACAGCCAGTGTTGTTATATTATTTTGGATATTCTTGCTAAATATATGCACAGCAAATATTTCTTTCTTAGAGTCTTGGCCGTTACTCTTGTCATTGATCACATGAGTAGGAAATTTTAAATTCTGTGTGATTGAAATATTCAATACTTCCTTCTGTCCTTGTTTCTGTCTTTGTAAAGTATAGCAGTGCCTACTGCACAATATTGTGATTCTTCGATGAAATAATGTAGAGAAAGCATTTTCCACAAATTGCTAAGTTTTTGGCTGAGGATAAGAGATCAGTAACAACTTGCAATTATTAATAATTATATCCTTAATTAGGCAAAGGGCTGCTGGGTAAAAGAAGGTAACTTTATGTGTTTGAAAAGCTAAAATTAAAGATGCAGCATCTTTTGGGAATTCACCTAAATTTAAAACAATGAAACAGAGACATTGTCTTAGATGCAGTAGTGAGACAAGGTAACTAAACCTCTGATAATTTAGCTGACACACAACTGCAGGTCAGGAAAAATCTGCAGACAGAGGCTTAGAAATTTAAACAAGCTAGAGATGGTGTGTTATAATCTCCCTATCCCAAGATGAGAATGTGATCCATGGTGAGTCAAACATCTGCCCCGTGAGGTCTCAGTCAGTGGGCTTCTCCCTGTGCACATGTGCTCCTCTGCCAGCCGCCCTGGTCGTGATCCTTGAGACACAGATGTCTCTGATATTTTCTGTTTCGATATATCAAACAGTTTGGTGGGTGGACATGACCCTGTGCCTGAGGCTCCGTGGGTCAATGCTTCGGTTGGGCCTCATCTAGACAAGCTTCCGCTTTAACCTTCATCTCTGCTTCATGTTTCCAAGAGGTTACAGTTTTGAGGTCATTCCTAATCTAGCGATCTTGAATCCCAATAAAGTCTATGAAGGACTTCAGAGTCCATGAAACCTGGGGTCATTTGCATAATTTCATGATTTTATTCCTTTTACCTTGGGATAAGGAACTTGATATTAATCAGATTTCCTAAGAGACCTGTAATCTCCAGAAAGATTAAGAACAATCAGTCAAACCACCTGGGCCTTTTAATATGAGTAAAACTCCCAGCTTCCACTCATTGCCCTACTTTCCTATGTCTTGTAAACACCCAAGTGCAATGCCTTATGAGCAGCAGGTGGCTGGTAACTAGTTCTGACCTTAATTTTGTTTTAAATGCTATCCCTAAGAAGTGCTTTTCAACTCCTATTTGCTATACTATGACATTAGCATCTTTTTCTAATAAGCTGTCTCAACTAAGCTAGTTTTGAATCATCTACCTCCTTACCTCTATTTCTTATGTTACAATTAGACCCAGTTCTTTTAATGGGGTCCTGATTTCCTCCCCTAGACTGTACTAAGTTCATACAGTAATCCTACACCTCCACTGTTTGATGTCTTTAAAAAATAATGTCTTATTTTTATTAAATAAAATAGTGAGTCAAGAAAATAGAGAGCTGATTTCAGTCTCAGATGTAGCAATTATATAAAGACCTGGATGACAGATAGGTTGACTTGTCAATATTCACACAAACATCCACAAATCCTGTGCTAAGCCAGAGCACCCCCGCTTCTCATTATCCCTTCTAAATTGAGAGTGAAGCTATAGAATTACAGTTCCCTGTAGGTGAATGAGAGCACCTTGGGCTAATGGCCATATGTAATGTCACCATCTAATAAGAGTCAGACAGGTGACTTGTTAGAACCAAGTGATATATTCCAGAAATGCCTGACCACAGGGGCTGAGACGCCCTTATTAGCACAAATAGCCCTCCTGTTGTTCTGCACAGTGTATTATGTGGGCTCTATCTGTGTTATTTCTTAGGCTCCTCAGGCCACCAGATGAAAATCTGTCTAATCTAATTAGCCTTACCTGGTTTGTTCATCTGCTCCTTAATGATTGTCCTTAAATGACCCAAACTTACAACATCCACCCACCACATTTTTCTAACCAGTTCATTCATCTCCTCTGAGTGTTATTTGGAACATAAGTTGGGTTGATAGCTATATTTTTCCCTATGGTCTAAAGAATCTGAGCTTTGAGGGATGCTGGGTCTAAAGCTGAAACAAGAGTTGCCATAGGAACAGACCTACAAGTTTCCTTCCAGGACAGGAAGTAGATCTTGGCATTGTAATGCTGCTTTCAGAGTTGGTCTTTCAGCAAAATAACAAGAAAAATAATGAACCAAAGAATATCCTTCTTTACTCTCCTCCTCTCTTCTCCCCTTCCTTTCTTCCCTCTCTCTCTCCCTGCCTCTCTCTTTCATTCTCTTTACCATTTTGTTCCTTTTTGTTCTGTCCAAACTGCTTTTATTTTTCCCTTTTAGCTTCACTTCCAAATTATCTTTCTTCCTTTTGCCAGTGTTAGTGGCACTGAAACTCAAAAACACAACTGATTTGGTCCAGAAATATCTTCACTCTCAGGGAACTTTAGAGAGGTTTGCAGTGTCACTCAGGCAACAACGTGATAGGTATTGTCTTATAGGTAGGTCCTTCAGGAGCAATGACATCTTCAAAAGTTACTCTCAAGGTAGAAGTAAATGGAACCAGAGAATTATCTCTTTGCCCCAGCATCTCCCTATCACCAGCTCTCATTGCTGCGACCATAGGCCCTGAAGTTCTTCTGTGGGGTTCTTACTCTGGATTAAGATCTTGCAGCTCTCATCCGACTGTCCAAATGTGGGCAACTCTCCTAATCTCTAGAGCTCAACTTTCTCAATGGTTAACTGAGAGAGCAGAAATATCACCTCTGAGGTTCATTTTGGTTTTGAAACACTCTGACTACTCCTACCCTCATCATTAACACTTACATGTGGATTAATTTTACTAGATTTCTCCTCAATGTTTTCACATAAAAACAAGTAAACATAGCTGATGATAAAAGAGGGAACACTGCAGGGCAATCCAGGTGGGGCCTTAGAGCACAAAGTCACTGGAAACTTGGGGCAGCAAGGTAGGGACACAAAAGGAAGTAGTTCCAGAAACAGGAGGTGGTGGCAGGGAGCTGAAAAAGATATATACTGACAATTTTGTGTAGAAGAGTTTAAGAATCCTATGTTATTGTGTTGTATGTCAAAAGAACTGAGATCTTTAATTATACAATCTAATGAATCAATCAACAAAAATTAATAAGATGCTGAACAATTCAAAGGTTATGGAAGAATTCAAGAAACACACAGAATCTGGTGCCTGCTCTAAAGAAATTCTTAACATTCTTAGGCAGGAACCATTCAGATACCTCAGGCAGGTATCAGAGCTATAAATCTTCAGGTGTTTCAGGTGTTCAAGGAAAGACTGACTTAACGGGAAAAAGCCAACCATTTCTTGGCTATCTTTTAAAACCACCATCATAGAGATTGTGCGTGCTGGAAACTTGGAGCAAAACTGGCTGGAGTGAGGACTGAATATTCCTGTAAGGAGTTGATTGAACTGTGGTTCACTGTACGGGACTGCTTGAGCTATGTTGCTTCACTTGAAGTATATGGTTCAAAAATAAATTATTTCATGGCTGGGGATATAGCTCAGCAGCACAGCACTTGCCTGGAAAGTGCAGGGTCTTGAGTTGGATTCCTGGTACCAAAAAAATAAAAAATAAATAAAGAAATAATTTATTTCATATTGGTTGCATTCAATATATAGGAGATACTCATCACAGTAAAGAGTAATTCAGGCCTGTAGAGACATGAGTAGAATAGACTATATTCTTATTTCATGAAACACAAAATGAGATTGAGTTCAGGGAAAATCTGGAAAATTGCTGAAGACTCCCAAAGTTCACTAGAACAAAGATGGTGATACCATCAGCCCCACAAACATTTTACATATCCAACAATTTGGATAATGGACTCTTTTCCCCTTTATGAGTAGATCAAGATGACAGAAAAGGACACAGAGCCACAGCTGGATGAAGGTGACGATGAGCTAGACAGCAAGCTCAATTACAAGCCACCACCTCAGAAGTCCCTGAAGGAGCTACAGGAGATGGATAAAGATGACGAAAGTCTAACTAAGTACAAGAAGACCCTGCTGGGGGATGCTCCTGTTGTAGCAGGTGTGTATCTGGGGGCAGGGAGACTGCAGGTAAGGATGTACTGCAGCCACTGAGCAGAAGCAAAGGAGAGGCTGCCAAATACTTGCAAGACGAAGAGGGCAAGGCACGATGTATACATGCCCAACAAAGCTGCGGACCCTATCGTTGTCTTCCTTGCACATAGGACACAGCTCAGCAATGAGGCAGGCAAAGATTACACACAGGGAGGATTTAGAAAGAAGTTGAGGCCACCACTTAGACTGTATTCCCCTCTCTCCACTATTTCTCTCATTTTCTCTCTTCCTTCTTAATCTTTTCCTAGCCACTCATTTCCTGCATACACACAATGGTAGAAAAAGACACGGCCAGAGATGTGGATAAGCAGTGCCCAACAAGTAGAGCCCCTGACCCATAGCCACTTGTGAAATATTTGATGTTGATCATTAAGATGAACCCATAGGGCCTGATAAAGTAATAACATGGCCCCAATCTGTAAGGTCATCACAACCAAGGGTGGTCAGTCTACCACCATTTCTATGTCTACTCCAGACAGTGATACTACGTTTCCCTTTATATCCTCCTTCTCCCACTTGAAATGCAAACACATGTCTGTTCCTCATGCCTACATCTTCTTTTGAATCCTGCAGACCCAACACTGCCAAATGTGACTGTCACACGGCTCACTCTGGTTTGTGACAGTGCACCAGGCCCAATCACCATGGACCTTACCGGTAAGTAGACCCAACCGTGGCTAAAATATCACAGGGAAACTTGGTCTTTGTCCCCTGTTCTGCTGAAGAAAATCCTAGTAAGGTGACTCCCAGAAGTGTGTATGTTTAGACGAGTTCATAAATGACTGTACTTGCAATGTACAATACT